TCCACCAGCCCTCCGGGCCAGAGCCAGAGGAGCTGAGCACCTAGGGCCAGGCTGGGTGGGGAGGTGCCCAGGCAGGAGGGTGCTGGCTCGACTCGGGCTCTGGTCTCCTGGGGGAGTGGCCCATGCAGGGCCATGCAGCCACATGGCCGGGTCTGTGACACGGGGTGGGCCAGCGGGCCTGGGAGGTGCTTACAGGGCTTCCCGAGTGGTCTGAAGCGTCTCCTGCACCGGCTGCATGAGGAAGTTCCCGTCTGGGGCTGCCCGGGTGCCGGTCGGCCTCTCGGACCTGGGACAGCTGCTCATCTAGAGCCTCTTTTTGGAGCTGCAGTCTCTGAGCATGCCCGGCTTGAACCCCTAACTCTCTCTCCAGCACGAAGACTGCTCTGTCTTTAAATTTTATCTCCTCCATCTACAAGGAGAACAGAACACAATCACACAGGCGGCAGGACATGGATCTGCAGTTACCATAGAAACCAGCACAGCCCTGCCAGGCTCCGGGCTCTGAGACCGGAAGCAAGAGCGGAGCATCCTGGACGGAGAGCAGGAGCCCCGGCCCTGGGCTGAGGCACGACGGAGAGCAGGAGCCCCGGCCCTGGGCTGAGGCACGACACCTCGGCTCCCATCAGGCCCTGGCTCAGCCGGCTACACAGAGCTGCTGCCAGCAGGGGACTCCTTCCTGACGGTCCCCAGACTCTGTGTGCTCTGGCACGGCACCCCATTCGGTGCTGTCCTGCTGGGGCCCTGGGTGCACATGGGGGTGGTGTTGTCTAGCAGAGTCGGCGGAAGCCACTTCCGGCTCCTGCCTCTGCCATAGGTTGGACAGAGAGGAGGACACCCAAGTTACCCACACTCTGCCAATAGGAAGGTGCCATGGGCAAGATTCTTCTCTAAACAGGCAGGGGAAACCATGGGGAACAGAAACCCTGGCCTGAAAGCCAGTGCTACTCCTTCCCCAGCCTGGGCCTACCCCCCAGGGGAAGGTTGTGCAACGTGGGGGCATCACTGTGGTCTTTGGACACCGCCCCTCCATGCTTCTGGGCATGACTAAAAGGCTGGGACCCCACACAGCTGTCTTCAGGCAGCACCACATTGCTCATTAATCTGGCTGCGAGCCGGGGCTTTCGGGGTGAGACGGCAGCCCAGGGGTGTGCAGGACATCTGCCCGCCAGTGGCTGTGAGGGGTTGGCAGCCCTCCCCACCCCCCCTACAACACGACGCTTTGTGCTCAACCCACAGAGGGAAGAAGCCATTCCTTCCGGGGATACAGCAGCCGCAGCCTGCAAGCCCCCGCCTGCTTCCGGGCAGGGATGCGCCAGCCAGAACACAGCACAGCCGACCCGACAGCCCCCCACTCTTCAGACAGACACGCTCGGCACTTTGGACGTCATTATCCACGGCACTAGATTTACGAGAAGACAAGGTCTTCGGGGATGAACAGCTCAGTTTGAAATATATTTTCGAACAACAGAGCAGAATGGGATATCCTGCTGCTTTACTCATTGTTTGAGGTTTAAACAAGCTAATAAATCTGCTATTGCTGAAGTTAGCTTGGAAACAAAGAAAGGAGACGTCTAATTAGCCCAGATGGAGCAAGTGATGAGCTGAACAGAAGAAAAGAAATCCTTAATTGCTAAATCCCCATCTTCTCTGCACACAGCAACACTGAAAGAGGCAACACAGTCAGTTAGTGGGAAGGCGGCTGGTGAAATAAGAGCGTGTCCATCAGCAGCTGTGCCTGCGGCCTGGCGCTCACACTCTCAGACTCAAACAAGATTTTCTTTTACCAGGACCCCCTCACTCCCAGCTGCAGAGGATGCCTGGAAACTGGAGAGAAGCCCTTGGGACGGTGGTCTCCAGTGCAGGGGGTGTGCAGGCCGATGCTGGGGCTGGAGGAGAGACGATGCCCCTCCACTCTGCCCGCCCCTGACCCGCCTGCCCCCAGGTATGCCCCGCAGTGTGTCTCAGCACGGGGCCCCGACACGCAGCATCACAGCCACCTGTGACAGCTGTCCATGGCCAGGTCCCTGAGCCCCCCAGATGCGCAGTTAGAACCTCTAGGGTGGAGCCTGGGAAGCTGCATTTTACAAGCCTCCCTGCTGACTGTGAAGCCCACAGACATGATCTCACCACTGCCCCACAGTGCTGAGGCCCCTGCATGCGTGTGTCCCGCCACGCCTATGAAGCACGCTCACTACACAGGGCACGTCGTCATCCCCAGCATAGTCACTGGCAGCTGTGGCTGCTCCCAACTGGGCTGACCATGCCTCAGTGCTGCAGACAGGTGACTGCCTAAGGTGTTGACAGAGTACCTGCGACCCCCCAGCAGGTCTCCTGACCCCGGGCCCATGGAGCCAGGACTCCTTCCAAAGACTGGGCCTGTGCAGGGAGCCCTCATGTCTGGCGGGTGCCGCTCACACCACCTCTTCCTCCAGAGGGGTCTGCGCCTCAGGGGAGCCCTCCCTCCGCATCGACTCTTGGTTCCGTGGGTGGTGACTTGAGCATACGAATGCACCTTGTGAGACAGAAAAGGCTGCTGCTCCCAGTGGATGTGCTAGAGATAAGGAAGAAGATGTGCCTTGTCCTAGCTGGGACTTGTTTTCCTAGCACAGAGGGTGTTGATGAGAGAAGGAAGGACCCCCATCACCCAGCTCCCAAGAGCTTAGAATAGGTGGGGGAGATGGGAAAAAATACACAGATGAGATACAGAGCCTGGTCCTGTGATTCCCTGTGAGAAAGCAGAGACCTGGATGGTGGGGGGAGGCAGGGGGCGGTTGGAGGTGCTGGAAGAGGCAGCCAAGCCTCCCTCAGCCTCTGGTGGGGTAGGAGAGCTTGTAAGATGAGGGAAATGTGACATTTTAGGAGCCCAAGCCCCTTGGTGTCCCAGAGACACCAGAACTTACTGCATGTCTGGGAATTAACCCTTGGGAATTTTTCCCTAGACAGAATGTCCAGGTCCCCCTCAATCATGGGATAATCTGCCAGCACCATGGGAAGGTGGTTCCCAAGCCTGGTGGTCTCGTGCTGGAATCACCTAAGAAGCTTTCTCTTAAAAAAAAAAAAAAAAAAGACTGATGCCCAGAAACTTCTGGTTCCAGACATGATGGGGTAGTTGGCATTAGACTTACCCTTCTGCGGTGAACAACTCTAGAAGCTGAACAGGACACACAACACAGGGGCAGGAGAAGGAGACAAGGAAATCAGTGCTTGTCAGCACAGGACCCCGGACACACAGCGTCACAGCCCCTGTGGCCGCTGTCCACAAGCAGATCCCTGAGCCTGTAGATCAGTGCCTCTCATCACACGGCCCCACCTCCCCTAACGTTTTCCCTGAGGGTGTTCTCGCAACTTCTCTCCTGAGAAACAGAGCCCCGAGCCGCAGAGGCCTCTTTTGTTACAGGAAACTAAGATTAGAATTTGGTTGGGGCTACTACAGCAGCTGGGATTTGGAGAGTGGAGGAGGGAACGGCAGAAAAGGAATGACAAAGATCTGACTAAGGATTCCCTTAGGTCCTTGGTCCCCTGCTAAGCTGTACATGTGCAAGGCAGGACTCCCAGAAGCCTTGCAGGAAACAGTTCCTGAGAATCTGAATGGTTAGTAGAAATGTAAGTGGTTGCACATGGCTATGGAGACGTTGCAATTCAAGCTCAGACACAATAGAAGATCATAGTGATTTCTCTAGACCCTGCAAAGGTTACACTCCCAGGGGCAGGACAATGTCCTAGGAGTAAAAACTTCATATTAAGAGAAAACTAAACAGACCTTACCTAACAAAGCCTGAAACCACACCTCAAAAGGATCCAGGTAATCTGCTGGTCAGTACCCGTCTGCTTGAACAAAACTCAACATTCTTAAGACAACAATAACATAATGCTCGGCCTCACAACACCCACAGTGCCAAGAATATAACGAGCATCATTAGACATGTGCACCCACAGTGCCAAGAATTTAATGAAAATCATTAGACACGTGAAGAAGCAGGGAAAATAACCAATAATGAAGCTAACTCTATAGCAACAAATCAAAAGATGACTAGAGTTAGTCAATAAGAACTTAAAAAATAATTGTGATTGATAGAAACAGACCCAGAGATGGTGAGGGTATTGAAGTAAGCAGGTAAGAACTTTTTAAATCGTTGTAAT